CAGATATGTCAAGGGGCACACCAGCGGTCAGAATTGGGTGAAGATAGGGAGCAAGGAAGAAATACTCTGGTCTCTTTCTTCTGCCATTCTCAGATTTGCCCATGACTGTCATTGGCCAAGACCAGCTGGAAACCAGAGCAGTTTCTAGGGGTCAGCTCCCTAAGACAGAGAACAAGGCAGAGAAAGCAGAGAATAGATCTGCTAAGGCATCAAGAGAAAAACCAGCATATGCATATGCTCTTGTGCAATTATTTTTATGTTTATCATCTTTCTGAATCATTAAAGATTCTTTGACATCGTGGTTTTAAATAGCTACATATGGGCACTGCTACAAATTATCTCAGTCACATACTGATGAACATTTTGGATGTATAAAAAAGTTCTCCTTTTCCTATGATAAACAGTAAGATGAATATCTTTATAGTCCTATTTCTATGGATTAAAAAAAATAGTTCCTTCGAGCATAATGCAAGAAGTAGAGATAATTAAGGACAAAGAACATTTTCCAGGGTATTGATATAACTTGCCATATTGCTTACTAGAAAAATAACTATCCTCTCTCTTTAGACAAAAATTTGTTTTGCTTCTTTGGTAAGATTAAAAAATATACTTTATGGTGCACCTGGGTGGCTCAGTCAAGTGAGCAGCAGACTCTTGGTTTCTGGTCAGATCCCAATCTCAGGGTCCAGAGATCAAGTCCCATGGCAGGCTCTGCTCTCAGCAGGGAATCTGCTTGAAATTCTCTCTTTCCCTGTGCTCCCCACCCCCACCACTCATGCTCTCTTTCTCTAAAAAAATAAAAAATAAATACTTTATTGCAGTGCCTGGCTGGCTCTGTAGAGCATGTGATTCTTAATCTTGGGTTCATAAGTCTGAGCCCCATATTGGGTATAAAGATTACTTTAAAAAATCTTTTAAAAAATATGCTTTAATGTTGTTGTAATTTTTATTTTGGTGTTACTAATGAATTTAAAATATTTTTTACATGTTCATTAACTACTTGTATTTCTTCCTTTGTGAACTTTGCCCATTTTTTTTCTATTGGTATTTGTCTTTCTTTTATTGATTTATAGGGGGTATTTAATGGTAAAAATTCATTGTCATCTACACTGTAAATATTTTTCTTAGTTTAAAAAAAGTCTTGCATAGAACCTGTTTCTTTAACTAAAGAATACTAAAATGTTTACCTTTTAATTTTATTTTAATAGCTTAATTATGTCAAATAAACTTTTTAATCCATTTGAAACGGTGTTTGGTGGTTAAGTATGAGATAGGGATAAAACATTATATTCTTCTAACTGACTACCTGACTGTCCCAAAACCATTTATTGAAAGGACCATCTTTGTTTTCTTCATTTATTTGAAATAGAAAGACAGAGCCTGGAGCTTTGTCCTGAAGATTTTGTCCCTTTATTTCCCCTAAGCTAGACCTAATCAGGTTTTTGATGTATGTTTTTGACTTGCTGCAAATTTTTCTAAGTACTAAGTACTAAGTACTAAGATTTTAGAACTTGATTAAAAGTAAACTTGGCTTACAGTGATAGATTTAACTGAAGAAGACAGTGTTATCATACAATTTCTAACATTTAATGTAAATCAGTGTTTACTTAATTTTATTGATTGATTGATTGATTTACTTACCTATTTATATTTCTTTGGTAGTCTTCACACCCAGTGTGGAGCCCAATGCAGAGCTTGAACTTAAGACTCTGAGATCAAGACTTGAGCTGAGATCAAGAATCAGATGTTTAACCTACTTAGCCACCCAGGCACCCATCCTGTATCTTCTAAAGTTAAAGTTTAGAAGACATTCTATGCCTGCAATGTGGTAAAAATGTTGATACACTGAAATAGTCCATTTAAAAGACAGGCAAAAGTGGTAAGAGATTTTTCTGCTAGCATTTCTTTTATTTTCTCTTTTCTTTCTTTCTTTCTTTCTTTTTTTTTTTTTTTGGACACAGAGGGAGTGCATACACACATAAGAGTGGGAGAGGGGCAGAGGGAAAGGAAAGAGAGAATCTTAAGCAGGCAAGCAGGCTCCACACTCAGCATGGAGCCTGGAGTGGGCCTCTGGCCCCTCTGGCTGGGATTAATAACCCTACACCTTGGCCAGGGCCTGCACTGCCGCTCTGGGCAACTTTGCCAAGGCCACCTTTGATGCCATTTTCCAAGATCTACAGGTATCTCATTCCTGACCTCTGGAGTCTGTGTTCACCAAGTCTCCCTATCAGGAATTCACTGACCATCTTATAAAGACCCACGCCAGAGTCTCTGTGCAGAGGATCCTGGCTCCCGCTATGGCCACCACATAGTTTTACACAAGAAAAATAGAGTGAAGGGGCGCCTGGGTAGCTCAGTGGGTTAAAGCCTCTGCCTTCGGCTCAGGTCATGATCTCAGGGTCATGGGATCGAGCCCCGCATTGGGCTCTCTGCTCCGCAGGGAGCCTGCTTCCTCCTCTCTCTCTGCCTGCCTCTCTGCCTACTTGTGATGTCTGTCAAAAAAATAAATAAAATCTTTAAAAAAAAAAGAAAAATAGAGTGAATTAAAGCCTAATTAAAAACATACATAAAAAAATAAGAGGGGCACTGGTTTCTGCAGTGGTCATACCAGTTCCAGGTGCTCTTCAACCTTGCTAGTAACACTTGTCCTCTTGGGTCTTTTTTATTGTAGCTGCTCTAGGGTGTTTCTTGTATCCCATCACAGCTTTCACTTGCATATCTCTGATGTGGTATCCAGTTTCCATGGTGACATCCAGTGACATCTCCTGGTATTTACGCATTGGTTAGTCCAATCCCATCAAAAGTAGGATGACCTGTGTCACAGATGGGTTATTGCAGGAACGACAACTGAATGACTTCTGAGGCTCTGTTATCGAAAACTGTAATAGTTTCTGTTTTATTTTCCCTGAGACCACTCACTCTGGGGAAAACCAGGGTCTGTATCATCAGGACACTCAAGCAACCCTATGGAGAAGTCTGTGTCGCAAGAACTGAGGCCGTGTGCCAATGATGCTAATTTGCCAGTCATGGGAGCGAGCCATTTTGTGAGTGGATCTTCCAGTCCCAGTCAAGTCTTCAGATACAGCCCTCGCTGATAACCCGACGGCAGACTCGGGGTGAGAGACACTCTGAGACTGAGCCATTCCTGGATTCCTTTACTACAGAAACTGTGTGAGGTAATACAAGTTTATTGTTGTTCTAAGTTTTGGGGTAGTTTGTTACCCAACAACAGGTAACCAGTACAGATTTTGAGCCTTGAAAATGAGGTGCTACTGTAACAAACATTTAAGCCATAGGAGTGACTCTGTCACCAGACAGTAGAGAAATCGGATGTTAAGGAAAGCATTAGTGCAAGCCTACTGACAGAACCTTGATGGCCTTTGTGGAGCCTGCCGGCAAGGGCTTATGGGTGAATATGGTTGGCATAATTCTAAGATGGCACTGAAGATTCCTGCCCTGTAATTCATATGTTTTGTACAATTACTTCCCTTGAGTGTGAGCAGAACTTGTTAGCATGATGAAACATAACTTCTATGATCATGTTGCATTATATGGCAAAAAACGATTTTGCAGATGTAATTACAGTCCCTAATCATTGAGTTACTCAAAAGGGAGATTATCCTGGGGGCTCTGACTTAGCCATATAAGCCCTTGAAAGAGACAAACAACATTGTAAGAAGTTCTCCTGCTGGCCTGGGGGAAGTGAACCAATATATTTTGAGATGGCCTATTGATTGTGACATGTGGTGAACAGGAGAGGACCAATGTTCTGCAGGCAGCATCAGGAAAGGTGTTGGTAGAGGGAACAACATGGGTAAAATGTGGAGGCTTGAAATTGTATAGTCTGTCTGTGAGTAGCCTAGCCAGTGGGAAGTGTGACAGAAGACACCATCTGGGAAGTGTGTATCATGTTAAGGAGCTGGAGTATCTCCTTTGTGCAGCGAGAGAGTAATTTAAAGCAGGAATGTGACATTACCATTATCTTTAGACAGTGCTTCCTGTGAACCAGGAACGAAGTTGAGAACGTGTATGCACTACCCCCATGGAATCTGTAATAGTACCAAATGAAGAAGTTACTATCATTATCCCCACTTCACAAGGGAGGAAACTCAATCCTGGAGAAGTTATACCCAAACCTAGCAGGTGAAGCTCAGAACCCAAAACCCTTAAAGGTATGCTTGCTGATCATTTCTAGATCACACACATCTAGATAAGAATAAAGGAAACACAGGACTTTATTTAATAAATATAAAGGCAGGTCCACTCCAAGAGACTTTTACTAAGTACTTAATAAAGAGGGTTTCTAGATATGCATACTAGTACCGCAGTGAACAAGATAAGCAAATAAATAATTTTAAAAGTAAATAATATTAAGCACAATTTAACTGCCAGTAAGAATAGAGGATGCTAATTTTTAGTTGGAATAAAGAAACTTTTAAAGTCTTTTACTATATCTTTATCTGATAATTAAAAAAATTTTTTAACGTATTTATTTATTTCACAGAGAAAGCCCAAGCAGGGGGAGCTGCAGAAGAGAGGGAGAAGCAGGCTCCCCGCTGAGCAGGGAGCCCCGGGACCCCCGATCATGACCTGTGTAGAAGGCAGAGGCTTAACCTGCTGATCCAGCCAGGAGCCCCTATTTAATAATCTTCTGATGTTGAGTTTGTTTTATAGAGATTCAGACAAAACCCGTACACCTAAAACCAAGAGGGAAACTCTAAACCACAAGCCTGGACTCCAGAACTTCTTCCGGCCACTCCGGCCCCGCCCTTCACTAAGCCCTGCCTCTTTGGGGCTTGACACTTTAGCCTCAGCCAGCCTTCCGCCGGGGTCCTCTTTCCAGGATCCCGCCCCGGCTCGTTTGCTCGCGAGAGTTCTTCGTCTCGTCGAATCGCAAAGCAGCTGCAGGAATGGGTGTCAGACAAGACTCGCGAGACTTGTCTGGACCTCATCCCTCCGCGGACTCCTCCCCCCCCTCCCCGCGCTCTTTAGGGCCCAGCGTCCCCGGTTGCACGTGTAGTTGTTGTGGTTCAACCTCACGTGGCTGCGGATGTGCCCGCGCTACAGGTCCGCCTTCAAGATGGCGGCGCTCACTGAATGGGGTTGCGACCTGCTGAACCTCGACTGATAGCCTGGACTGATAGCCGTGGAGGTGTCTGCGGGGCCATGGACCGGCCGGGGTTCACGGCTTCGCTGGTGGTGAGTGCTGGGCGGCAGGGTGGGCGCTGGGGTGCCAGAGTCTCGCAATGGAGCCCGTTGTGGCTTCTGTGCCCTACCGCTCTCTTCCGGTTTTGCGCGTTGAACCGTCCTGGGGTCACTGGTCACTAGGCAGGTCTGGCAGGGATCGCGGGGTTTCTGGGCCACCGCCAGGCCTTGTGTCACGGTTGTGTCACTCCTACCCGGACGACAGAAGGAGACGCGGGGCAGGCTGCCGGACAGTCTTCCGCAGGATGGTTTACCTAAAGAAGAAAAGAAGAGCGTCAGTTACATACTGTAACCATACTCTGGAGAACTGGGGAAATATATGTCACAAAACAAAAAGCGCTTACATCGCACAGACTCCTTCTTGTCCAGAACTGTGGTTTTCATTTAGCTTTATCTGTTTTCACTCTGGGAAAGTGACCTATCTGTTCATTCTATATATAAGAAATCTGCTTATTTTCTTTCAAGCGTTTTTGTAGGCGTGGATATAGTGATAAGAACAAATAGTTATGTAGCCAGTAAGATAGTAGTGTTTAATTTTTTTTTAAGAAAAAAAAAAAAACTACAAGAATCAACATGTTTTCCTATCAAAAACAAAATCTAGGAACAAAAATTTTTATAATATTTTGAAGCTTCTGCCATGGCAGGTCCAGTAGGGATAGTAGATAGAGCAGTGAATACGGATTCGTCATTGTGGAAGAGTAGGCAAAACCAGTATTTTTTATTTTGTTTTTAATTTAATTTATTTATTTGACAGATCACAAGTAGGCAGAGAGGCAGGTAGAGAGAGAGGAGGAAGCAGGCTCCCCGCTGAGCAGAGAGCCCGATGCGGGGCTCGATCCCAGGACTCTGGGATCATGACCTGAGCCGGGGTAGGGGCTTAACCCACTGAGCCACCCAGGCACCCCCCAAAACAGTATTTATTTTTTAAGACAGCTTAAAAAAAAAAAAACGCTCCCATGGAATAATGGAGGTTCGGTGGAATTTCTTCACTTAATTATTGAAGGTTTGTTGTTGCAGGTGTTGGAGATAACATGGTGAACAAGCTAGAGGTGCTCACTTGGGTCAGGGGGTGGAGCTAGAATAGTAAAATGTTAGTATAAATGACATGAGGGCTAGTTTCAAGGTGTTACAGAAGGGTGTGCAGGGGGGTGCCTTAGCCACACTTGTGGGGTGATGGTTTTAGATTTAGGTTTGCTGAGACCTGTGTAAACTAGGTTTTAAAGATCCAAAGAAATATGTTACCACTTTGAGGTATTCCTCTGTGGCTAGAGAGACAGTGGTAGTAATTTTGACAGTTAACATTATCCTGCCAGGAACTGGGTTAAGCTCTTTGTGTACATCAGTTCTGACAAAGAATTAAGTACTATCCTGGTTTTCCAAATGAGGAACTGAGGTACAGAGAGGTTAGGTAACGCCTCCAAAGTCACACAGGTGACATGTTTCACGTTATCTACGTGTTTTAGCTCAGATTCGAATCCAGGTGGTGTAATGTGGGATTCCATACCCATAAACACTTCTGGATACGTTTCTGAGGTCAGCTGCCGTAGCTGTTGCTAAAAACAGGTCTGTGCCAGAGTTAAGAAATGAGCAGTAGTTTTAGAATTTATTAAAGTATGGTACAAATGCCGAAAAATATACTTTTTTTTATTATAGTTACACAAGTTAAACCTAGGATCAAAAGGAGAAGTTTTGATGAAGTTAGATTTCATTCACGTTAAAGAATGATTTCCTTTATTATGTACACAGTTTATCTGCCATGTGTTTTGCCCATCGAACACTCTGATAGCCCTTGGAGGTATGATGGTGAACAAACCAAACTCATATACTATTTAAGAAATGAACCGAGGGGCGCTCAGTTGGCTCAGTTGCTTAAGTGTCTGACTTCGGCTCATGTCATGATCTCAGCGTACTGGGATAGACCCCCTGTCATGCTCTCTGCTCAGCGGGGAGTCTGCTTGTCCCTCTCCCTCTGCCCCTCCCCCCACTTGTGTTTTCTCTCTCTCTCTCTCAAAATCTTTTTAAAAGTTATTAAAAAAAAGAAATGAACTGCAGTGGGATAGAGTTAGAATAATATTGGAGAACCTACCTGAGATGGAGTGGCCACGAAAGACCCTGGGGAGGTGACATTAAATTAAGACATAAGGATAAGAAATCGAGAGACATTTTGTTGAGCAGCATGAAGGAAAACCTCAGGTGGAAAGAATTGAGGATGTTAAAGTGGTGGTTGGAGCCTAGTGGTAAGGGTAGTGTGACGGGTATATTGGAGAGGTAGAGAAAGTGAGCTTAAGTGAGTCTTTGTGGGCAGTGGAAAGGATTTTGGATTTTATTTGAAGCAAATGGAAGCCATTAGAAAGTTTTGTTAAGAGTACTTCAGCAGTGGAGTGGCCCTTTTTTTTTTTTTTACCCCCAGATTTGGAGCATCTTTGAGGCAGGCTGAGTGCTCCCGGGAGGGTTTTGTTTGCTTGCTTACTCCTTTACTAGTGCCTGGCATTATATGGTTACTCAGCTTTACTTATTGAATGAATGAATGAATGAAAGGTAAATCTAAATGACTGCTGGTTTTGAAATTCCGATTCCGAGAATTAAATAGGTTAATGTCAAACATGCAGTACAGAGCCTGGGAGCACACTCCCTAAAGCTTCAGGAGGTGGATGGAAGGGTTGTAGAGTAAAATACGGGAAGAGCCTCTGGGATGTTAGTGTTCATTTAGCATGAGTAGACTTTCCAAAAAAGACCTCAGAGTACAGAGACTGGTGCATATTTTTAGGAAAGCAGTTCGAAACCAAGTATTAGTAACTTAAAGATGTTCATAACATTTAAGTCAGTGAAGATAATGGAAAGCCACTTAAACATGAAACACAGGAATGGTTAGGTGAACGTTAAAAGATACATTTCATCAACTCTTCAGGGGCCATAAACAACAGTGCTTGTGAAGAGAATGCACTATAACATGGAAAATACTTAAAAAAGAGAAAAAAAATCTAACACCGCCCATAGGTACATCTTCATGCTTAATTAAAACTATAAAAAGACTATTCCGTTCACTAAAAAAGGACTATTGAAGTTTCCCGAGATAATACACAATAATGTTGATAGTAGCATTACTTTTTGCCTCCTAGTTTTTTTAAATATAAAGAAGTGGGACGCCTGGGTGGCTCAGTTGGTTAAGCAGCTGCCTTCGGCTCAGGTCGTGATCCTAGCATCCTGGGATCGAGTCCCACATCGGGCTCCTTGCTCAGCAGGGAGCCTGCTTCTCCCTCTGCCTCTGCCTGCCATTCTGTCTGCCTGTGCTTGCTCTCTCTCCCTCTCTCTCTCTCTGACAAATAAATAAATAAAATAAAATCTTAAAAAAAAAAAATATAAAGAAGTACTTTCTATTTTTGAAAATAACCACACCCTGTATTACATCTCTTTTCCTTCCTACCTGACTCTTCTCTCCCCTTCAGTACTTAACTGTTTCATTGTCCTTGTAGTTCATGAATTCATCTGGCTTGTTTACTTGGATGAAACCAAAAACATCCCGTGGTAGTTACTTTTAACCTGTCCTAGGTTGTAGGGGAAAAAATCTTGGCAAGTGTGGGTGCCGTGCAGTGTAAAGTGTAGGCGGTCTTGCTGGTAGCCTGGGTTGTCAAAATGTGCAAGCAGAAACCATGCAGAGTGGTCCGAATAACTGATGAGAAAGCGTATGATTCTTTAATGACCTCTAAAAATTCTTGTCAGTGTTAAATGACAGACTCTTACTGTTGATCGGAAATATGTAGGGAAGTGAAAAAAACAGTAAAGCTAATATTGAGAACATTGTAATTTAAAACATCAGAAACCAATAATCTATTTCTTTGTGAAAAATGTGTCAAAAGTAATTTGACCAGTGCTGGTCTTCTAGTCAGATAGCTTAAGATACAGACAAGCATCTTTTTGATGCTTTGGCAAAGTGTCCTACTGCTTTCTAAGGTTGGATCAACTTCCAGCATTTTATCCTGTGTGCTTTCAACCTTATGAAATCTCTCCAAGAGTTCCTTTAATGGGAGGACTTTTGCTGGCATCCCTTCCTCTGGGACATCTTCATCCTTTTGGTCATAGCCACTTTCCTCACTTATGTTGACAAGTTGGCCTTCACAGATTTCCTCTGACATGTGTCTGTAGTCTCTCGGACAGCGGTGTCCATATTCCCATGGCTGGCTGTGTGTTCTGTAACTTTATATTAGATTTGACCTTCACTTTCAGTGGTAGGACTTTTCATTTATTTGCTGCACTTTCATCTTTGTTGGCCAGTTTCCTCTTATGATTATCTGTTTTTGGAAAATGTCACTGTGTTAACTGTAATTTGAACCATGATGTTGGGTGACTTGTGTTACTTGTGGGAATTAAAGTTCATGCATGTTTTTACTGTGTAAAGCAAGGACTGGCTGCTTGACTGTTCTTTTTAAGTTGTTTTCTTAGTGAGGTGTTTCTGGAAAAGCTTTTTCATACTCTTCATGTAGTAGTGTCCTCTCCCTGGGCCTGACCTTCTGCTGAGAACCATTGGCCGAATGTGGCCTGAGGGGAATGGCACAGGTAATGTTGCCAGGGCTTCTTAAGTGAGGTGAAAAAAAGCAGAAGAAAAGAGAAGAATCAAGTATTGGACATACTTTTTTTTTTTTTTTTTTTAAAGATTTATTTATTTATTTGTCAGAGAGAGATCACAAGTAGGCAGAGAGGCAGGCTGAGAGAGAGGAAGGGAAGCAGGCTCCCCGCTGAGCAGAGAGCCTGATGCAGGACTCAATCCCAGGACCCTGAGATCATGACCTGAGCCTAAGGCAGTGGTCTAACCCACTGAGCCACCCCAGGTGCCCAGTATTGGACATACTTTGAGGGAAGATTTCGACATTCTTTGCCACATATCTTTCCTTTCTGGAAGGTTTCTTCATAGTCTTCAATCTGGTATAAAGAGAAGTTAGTATCTGATGATGAAGCATTATCTCCAGATGTATAAAGAATTATGCTTCCACATTTGC